GGGTTTTATGTATATATGTATGTACGATACGGCAATTTAATATATTTCGTATACTTTATTGAATACTGAGTTTTTTACAAAGTTTAGAAATTTTAAATTCGTGAATTTTGTTGTTGAATAAACTATCATTTTTTAAAACATTAGTTTAATGAAATTAAATTAAAAAAACTTTTCATGCGCGTACATATGTACTTATAAAAATTAATTTCATAATTCATTATTTGAAATTATTTCTTCATTATTTTTTTATTATATTTTATTATTTTCGTTTCATGTTCATAATACAAATTAAATATAAATTTGTAAGAGCGTTTTCTAACCCGCGCAAAAACCGACGCACTTTTGTACAATATAGAAAAGTGGCAACTGTTACTCAGCGCGATTCACGAATACCATGACAAAATGAGACTGTATTGGTGTGCCCATCTATGGAGTACACACACGAAAGTGTTGGTAAAAGGGCAGTAATCACAAAAAACCACACGAATTGCCTGTGGGGGAAGCGATAAAAGCGTATAGTGTTGAGCGTGGTTTTATGAGCGTAATGCACGATTGAGAGAAATAGAGATTGCGCCAATCGCGGTACCGCTAATCCGCTCTTTGTGATTTTGACAGAATGAGCTGTGTGCGTGACGTCATCTTGGTGCAATTGTTGAATGTGAGCATACGAAAAAACCAAATAACAATTTTAATATATATGCGTTAATATTTCTGCGTGGCTCTAAACAATTATTAAGACATTAAAAAGCAAAATGAAGTGTGCAGTGGCAAAGTGTAATAGTGAAAACAAAAGGAAAGCGTGCTATATAAGTTTTTTTTCGTTTCCTACGGACGCAAAGCTGGCGAAAAAGTGGAAGCAGTTCTGCCGGGGAGGACATGCATTAAACACCAAATCGAGCTTTGTGTTATGTGTGTGAGCTATGAGCTTCTACATTGAACTATGTTGGCCTTTCCTTGGTGAATTGTCGTAGGTGGAAATATTGGTGAATGTAGACAGTTGCTGGTTTAGTTTGCTGGCAATGGCATACATACAAAAGCAGTGTCTACAGTAAATAGATACATGAACTTCACTACCTACTCATTTTTGTTAGTACCTGATTCTTTTAGTGCTGGTATGAGGTAATGCACCAGTGGATAAGGTCGCCAGGCGCTAATTCAAGCGGCATCTTACCGCTCTGTTTCGTACCTAATACAAAACAGTGCCCAAATTATTATACATTCAAAAGTTCAGCTTAAATTATGTTTTGCTGACATAGAATATTTGCTTCCAAAAAAGCCACACTCATGCCTCCTCTGGGAAATGGTACAAAAGTCATCAAATAAAAGCTGTGGAGTCAACAGCTGTGGAGTTTATGGCGGTTGGCTACCGTCCACAAATATACAGCGTGGCGACGAATAACTGTCACCCAGGTTTTTTTGAGAAATAAAAGGGTCCTTTAAAGATTTTGCGAAAAAAGTATTTTATTGATAATTTTCCACAGATTTTACTTTAGTTGCATTAATTAGTTTTTAAATTTTAATCCTTATTTACATTTGCCAGCAGTGTAAACTTTGAGAGAAAAGTTCATTTGGCACGCAAGTCTTTTCAGGTGTATTTTTTCTTAGGCTTTGTATAAAAAAAGTACAAAAAAGAAAAAAACTGTATAAGGTTGGTCGAATGAATGACCGTCCTAGTCACCAGTTCCGAGTCTATTCGATTTTTGAGTATGAGGCCTTAGGTTGGACAGAAGGGGGAGTATAAGGGACTCAAAATGAAGAAAATTAGCCTATGATTACAGAAGATATGGAATAAATTAACTGACGAAGACCTGCGTGCCAAATGAACTTTCCTCTCAAAGTTTACACTGCTGGAAAATGTAAATAAGGATTAAAATTTAAAAACTAATTAATGCAACTAAAGTAAAATCTGTGGAAAAATAACAATAAAATACTTTTTTCGCAAAATCTATAAAGGACCCTTTTATTTCTCAAAAATATCTGGGTAACAGTTATTCGTTGCCATGCTGTAAATATTCACTCTGCTTGGCTTTTTAAAATGGCAAGTCCAAAAATTCACTTTGCTGCACACCTTCCTTTTGGTCTACATGAAATTGCAAACACTGTTAATACATCCATTTTTTCATGTGCTAAAAATCGTACTTATCTAAAGGGCTACATGGCCAAAATTATTGCTACGTGTTCCTAATTAATCAATCTATGTATATTTATTGATTCCTGCAAAATTGGGCCATGTAATATTAAAATTAACACATTTTTCTGCATTGTTTACATATTTTTATATGCGTTTTGGCATTTCTCTCTCGCAATTGCACCAAGATGACGTCACGCAAAAATTACGCTCAAAAATCCTCTCTCATTGGCGCAATCTTGTATTCTATCATTCTTGAGCGTAATGTACTTAGTACAAAAGAGAGACTCCCTCGCTGTGCTAGGTGGAGAGTTTGTTGTCAGTGTTGGCCAATTGTGGTGGTGTAGAGTTGTGTGTCAAAGTGCATACGAAAATACTATTCCCCAATAGCCCGTACTGTATGTACACAAAATGATAAAAAACCGTACACGTAAAAAAGCTTTATTGTTGTTATTGCATTCAGATTTTGTTTTTATTCCACTTCTGAAGAATGTCAAAAACCACAAACAATGTGTTACGCTCTCCCTCCGAAAATTTTTATGAGTAATACCAGTAAACTTTAGGACTTTTTACTTACTTCTTACTGTCATTTTAAACAGTGAGGAGTTTGTCATACTTGTTTTGAAGTTGATCAGTGAACTCTGTTTTTTGTAAGGGCAGGGTTTACAATGCCTCGTTAGGGTTAATAATTACTCTGTTTGGGGAATAGTTTCGCGTTTTTCTGATCCTAACTTTGAATATAATAGAAACTTCCCTCCAAGCTGATATGCAAATAGGGAATTCATAAAAAAACAACGCCAGCTGTGAGCGTTGCAAAAAAACGTAAGTGACATGTTTTTTGAAATTTTCATTTTAATGCATCTTAATGCTCTAGAAGCATTACTGCGCCAAGAAGAAAATTTTGAAAAATTTCACTTTTTTCGAGGTTAGAGCTTCTTAGATTTTAGGCTTCATATTAAAAAAAAAATCGACTATCGAAGCTGATCCTTTACCCAGAGTAAGAATTCATTTCAATGTTGAAAAACAGTGAATAAAATCAGCAAACAACGGCTGACCTGTAACTGCAAGCGTGACTTTTATTGTTCTACTTTAAATACATATACAAACACGTACCTACTACATATCAAAATACAAATATGAACGCATTAGTTTGATTAGCTTTTCCCAAGGGCCTTCACGCTTCATACATGGCTTTCCGTTTCACACCTATCGCACGCAACTATTCATTTATTTAATTTACAATAAAATTTAAATAAACCTTAGAGCGCACATAAAACCCACTAACTCAGCCCGTACTCGCATCAAACCCAACTCTCCAATAAGCTAAAGCAGCCAAGTGAACAACACTGACGACGACGCTCCAACAAAAGCGCCAGAGCACCCGGCCTACAAGCCGCCGCTTCAGCTCTTTTTACCGCTGCGTTTTTCTGTGCTCTGTTTTTTACTTGCTTTCTTTCTTTGCTCGCTGGAAGACAGCGTACACAACAGCTCCAACTGAAGCTCCAGCTAGAGTTCTATGTACTACCAATTTACAAAACACACAAACCAATTTCCAGTGTGACTTCAGTAATGCTTTACATTTCACAGGCAGCGGATCGGCGACACGTGAAAAACGGGTTGCAACGTCAAAAAGTATTATTAGCAGTGATGGCGATGCGGTGCAATCGATTAGTGTTGTTGTTGCTGATAGTTGTTGTCGTTGCACAACACTAGTACATCAGTGCAACCGTGTAATGTTTAATTGCTTTAACGAAGAATGGGAAAAGGCGGAATATGCAAAAGGACTTCGGATAAATACCCGCCTTTGCATGAGCAAAGAAACACTTTTCATTTTGTCAGCAAGCAGCGAGTGCATAAGCGAACTAATTGGAAACAACACCAACAACAACCGCCGTCAGCAGCACCATCACCAATAACTTTGTCAAATTCGTTTTAATAATTATATTATTCCGTGTTCGTCGTAAAACTCGTCCTCAAATAAGCCAATAAAGTTTTAAATCTTATTTTATATTTAACATAAATTGGTGCCGTCCTTTATTTTGCTGACAGTTGTGGTATAGCAAAGCCACAAAGGTACACAAATCAAAAGCAAAGTCGTGGTGAAATTACTAATGAACCAGCATTGGATCAGTGCGTGGAGAGTGAAAAATTTGAAATAGCTGAAAAATCGAAAAATTTCGAGAAAAGTGTAGAGAATGAGAAAAAACTTGGCCACCGCAGGTTGGTTGTGCAAACAGAATCGTGGAAAACGGCGAATGCCATAAAACGTGTTGAGGTCCAATATCGAGAACAAGCGACGAAAAGGCAGGAGGAAAGTGAACACGGAAAGACGGTGGGAGAAGAAAGTGGAATTGCATGCAAAGAAGCCACAGGTGGGCAAAATTAAAGAACAAAAAACAAAAACAAGCTGGTAGCGAAACAAACAACTTAAAAGCTATTCATAGTGTTTAAATTATTAGCAGAGCTTGCATTATTTATTTAAAAAAAAAACTACATATTTTTTCATAACAAAACTAGAGTAGTGGACATTTTATTGTACTGCATACGTATGTATGTATTTACATTTTATATACTTACTTACATTTCAAATATTTGTATAGGCATATACAAACTGTTTAGAAATCATTTCATTTTCGATATAAATGTTGAAAAGTTAATGGAGCAGAATCAAAAAGAAATTGAAAATACAAAAGTCAAGCTAATTTTTAAAATAAACCAAAAAATATTTAAATAGCTAAAATAAATATTTATATAATAATAACAATAATAATACTGATAATAAAATAAATATGCAAGTAAATTAAACTGAACAAAATTAAATAAACTGCATTTGTATATGTATCTTTTAAAAAACAAAAGTCTAATAAAAATAAATGAAAATAACAAAAAAAAAATCAATACATTAAACTAAAATATAATAAAAGTTAAAAAACATAAGAAAAAACAAATCGTATAAAATAAAACAATTAGTAAAAACAAATTAAACTACATAAAAAAAGTCAATAAAACAAAATTAAAACCATTTAGTTGAGGCAAATAAAGGAAAATGAAATAAAATTAAATTAAAACAAATAGTAATTTAAATTTAATTTAATTTAATTTAATTAAACAAAATAAAAATAAACATTATATTAATATAAAATTTAAACTAAAATTAACTAAAAACAAGTAAGAGCAGCGCTGTCTTCGGCTATGCCGAAGGCTTCATACCTTTCGTGAACATCTGCAAATTTTACTTTGACAGATTACTGCTTTTGAATACATCTGGATACATCGATAGAGGAGTTACATACTTATATAAAAAATCGCATCTAAACAATCAGAGGTATGGAAGATATACTTTATATGGCACCAATCTAAGGGATTTTCACTGCTATGTGATCGGTATGTAAACCGGTAATACAATTTATTGGTTTTAGTTTCCTACATAAAGGAGATATATCGCAAAAACTGGTATCTGAACAATCAGTGCTATAGGAGATAAAGCTTATACAGCATAGAATTTGATGATTTTCTCAGTAGACTTTGTATTATTATTTATATAATAGCTTACGAAATTTATCGGTTTTAGCTGTCCAAATAAATTAGTTTTACATTAAAACCCCATATCTGAACAATCAGTTATATGGAGGCAATATATAAGTTACAGTGACCCAATATTTGTTAGTTTTACTGTAAACTATCTGTTGATAATGAGTGCAAATAGTGCGAAATATCATGTTTCTAGCTGCATATAATTAGAAGTTATAACAAAGAATCTCATATCTGAACAATCAGTTGTATGGGAGCTATATGTAATAGTGACCCGATCTTTGTTATTTTCACTATAAGTCTTCTGTTGATAATGAGTGAAAACAGCGCGCAATTTCATGGTCCTAGCTACATAAATGGATGAATTATAACGAAAAATCTCATATCTGAACAATCAGTTGTATGGGAGCTATAGGTTATAGTGACTCGATCTTTGTAATTTTCACTGCAACTATTCTGTTTATAATGGGTGTAAATACTGCAAAATTTCATGTTCGTACCTGCATAAATGGAGAAGTTATAACGAAAAATCTCATATCTGAACAATCAGTTGTATGGGGGCTATATGTTATAGTGGTCCGATTCTTTCGGTTCCGACAAATGATTAATACATTATAAAAATACACCCACCTACCAAATTTTATCCGGATATCTCGAAAACTGAGAGACTAGATTGCATACAAACAGACGGACAGACGGACATGGCTAAATCAACTCAGCTCGACGTTCTGATCATATAAGTATACATTTTAATGGGTCTATCTCTTTTTGTTCTGGTACTTACAAACATCGGACCAAAGTTATAATACCATTTCATGCTCATGAAAGGTGTAATAAATAAATAAGCATTGTGCTAGGATAAAGATGAAAATATATAAATACAAATGCAAACTAATTAAACAAAAAATACACAAAACATATTAAATTGTAAATAAACCGAAATATTAAATAAAAAATCATAAGAAAAAATTTAATAAACTAAATTAAAATAAAAAACGTTTTAATACAAACAGTCTACTTTATTTTTAATTAAACGAAAAAGTATGAAATAATTTTTAAAATACATGAAATTAAAAATGGTATTAAATTAAAGTATGTTAAAAAATAATATAAAAATTAAATAAAAATAAAAGTAAAGCAAAAAAATAACAAAAATTAAATATAAAATAATTAACTAATTAAAATAGTTAAAATATACGAAGAATGTAAAAAAAGAATTAACAAAATAATGTGAAAAGAGATAAGAAAAAAGCAAATAAACCCAATGAAAAACATTCTAAAAATTAAACCAAATTGTACTTAATTATTGCAAATTTATTCAAAATTAAAATGAATACAAATAGTTTCCATTAAAATTTGAATAACTTATTTTTTTTTTTTAAGAAATAAGGGCAATTCATCTATATATATGAGTGAATGGCTCGTGACCACGTAAACTTCGTAAACTTATTTACGAAGTTTTACGCGGCCTTTACACGTTTAGATGAATGTCCTTATTAAAATAAAAATTACAAAACAGAAATATAATAAAATTATATAATTTAAAGTAAAACAAAAAAAATAAAACGAAAAATTGTGTCTAAATATCGTAGGTGTGTGTACGTATTAAAGACATAATTTAACTAAAAATAAAAAGTAAAAGAACACATCTAGTTGCGCCGTTAGAATACAAGCTCGTAAAGCTCTTCACGCCACTTTCCATTCAGTTAGTTTTACATTGCGACTTCCATTCATTCCCCCAACCATGATGTTCAGCTTCTGCCATGCACTTTTCCATCACCAACTCCACCTATTGCAGTAATACTTATTTTCATATTTATATGTGGGTGTGTACATATATACACACTATAAAATGTTTTGGTAATTTTGCTGCCTGGCATGTCATGTTGCACGCAACCTCCTCCGCAGTTCAGCGACTCCGCCGCGGTCGAATTCCAGTTCCAAGCGAATAACCACAAACAGTCATGTACATATACATATATGTATTTAAACATATATATTAAAATTTACATTACATGCACTGTTCGAGCGCGTCCCTTGGGTTAGCAAAACAGAATGCTAGATAGTGCGAGCCATAAACTATTTTTACGGTATTTTGCGCATGAAAATTAAAAAAAAATGTATATACGTATCTACATGCAAACATACATGTGTTACATAGACGTTATTGAGTTATAAATAAAGCTATTATTTTAGCAAATATCCTATTCTAAGTCGAACACATGACCTTTGTATGTCATACTTCCGGTACCTTTTTAACGCCTTTATTTTTCCTAATTCCCACCCCAAGTTGCTAAGTCGCTTATTATACGAGTATTACACTTTCTTTTCTTTTTCACACATTCCACCTTTTTATTCTGGTTCTGAGCCGGCTAAAATTATTTGCCATCAATCCATTTCTTGCACCTCTATAGGCTTATATTCTTCCCTCTCTCTCTCTCTCTCTCTCTCTCTCGCACTCTGTTGGATCATTTTCGTATGTAATTTTATTTCCAGTACTAAGACCCCCCTGCTGGTCGCTGTTGCCTTGGAACCACTGGAATACTTGTGTTTTTTAAGTTCTTTCTTTCGCTTTGTCTTCTGGCAACTGCCATTTGTTTACGACGCCGCTGTCGCTTTTTTGTCTGGTTGCTATTGTAGCCTTTAGTTTTCTTGTGTGGGCTGTGCTTGAGGAACAAAATATGTATTTATTTTAGGGTGGTCCTTAAAATCAACTGAACGATTTTTTTCAGTCTCACCCCCTCCTGATTGGAGACGGTTAATGCATGTCGGACAGGGGGCAAAGGCCGGAGGCCTTCAAGGACCCAAACAATTCAAAATATTTCGTTTTATTTGATACCCAACTACTAGTCGGGGATATCACATATAAATTTTGGCCCCGACTGGAGTAGGATATGACGTCTTTATAGGGTAATCTAATCTTGACCCCTGCGCGACACGCCTTAACCGACTTCAATCGTGACCAAAATTTATATTGCTTCCTACATTTAAGGGCCACCCTAATGTATATACATATGTACATATCTCCATACATACATATGTAACTATATTTTTGTGTATACAATGCGTAAAGTATGACTCTGCCATAAATTGGTTCCGAATTAAAGGCTTGATGTCATAAATTCTGTACTTTAATTGTTTATTCCAAGCATATGGTGGGGAGATTAATTATAGACGTGCCAATATTTAAAAAAAATGTGAGCTGTTTCACTTGCGAGACGTAATCCCTGTTCTTTTGACATAATCACGTAACAACTAAAAATAAATCCTCTGTCTTATTATTTCGATGAGGAGCGTTTTTGTCGTTTGGCTCACTAAGTTAAATTCGTTGAGCGCCCCTGGTTCGGAGTATGTTCTCAATTCATACTTCCAAGTTTTCATATCTTTCTCAAAAATATACTACTATTATACTATTTTAACAAACCTCTATTTGGTTGCGGGTCTGGGATGAATTCTATTTAGTTCAAATATTTCTATGTAGGGTTGCAGGGTGGAGGACGTCGTGGTCTAGTAGAGGCTTCGCATTGGCACATAGTGTGCTCTGCGGTTTCTTTTTTCTAACGACACAGTCTGTATTGGTCAGAGAAAGATCAGGTTAGGTTTTATGGCTACCCATTAGCGTGGGCCGAAAATCCGCTTTTTTAGAATTTTTCTATTACCAAACAAAATTCGAGAAAAGCGGATTTTCTTCCCACGCTACTACCCGTACGGAAAGAAGGGTACCTCCTGTACCAGCGATGACATTTATGTGTTAGTTGCAAAACCCTGCCTATACACAATAACTTTCCGCAAGCGGTATCATGTTCATCGTTTTCCAAGCATTTATTACAGTATGGACTTG